CAGGCGCCCCGCCCATTTATTTTTTAGGTTTATTCATTTATTTGGATAGAGAGCGAGAGAGCAAGCAGGGAAGGGGCAGAGAGAGATTGAGAATCCCAAGCAGGGTCCACACCATCAGGGCAGAGCCCAATGCAGGCCTCAAACTCATGAACCACCAGATCATGGCCTGAGCCGAAACCAAGAGTGGAGCACTTAACCAAGTGAGCCACCCAGGCACCCCTCGCCTCCAGTTTTATATGGCTTGTGAGCCGATAATGGTTTTTACATGATTAAATGGCTGAAAAAATAAAAGATATGAAAACTCAGGGGCGCCTGGGTGGCTCAGTCGATTAAGTGTCCGACTTCGGCTCAGGTCCTGATCTCATGGTTCGTGGGTTCGAACCCCACTCGAGCTCTGTGCTGACTGCCAGCTCAGAGCTTGGAGCCTGTTTTAGATTGTGTCTCCCTCTCTCTCTGACCCTCCCCTGCTCACGCTGTCTGTCTCTCTATCTCTCAGAAATAAATAAAAACATTAAAAAAAAGAAAATTCATATAAGCATATGAAATTCAGATTTCAGCATCCATACGTTTTATTGGAATACAGTAGATCCACTCATTGAAGAACTGTCTATCGTCGCTTTCGTGCCGTAATGGCAAAGCTGAGTAGCTTCAACAGAATACCAATGGCCCACAGAGGTAGTGATTTACTCCCCAGACTTTCACAGATAGTTTGCTACCTCTTGCGCTAACGGCTGCTGGGAAGTATAAACTACATTAAAAGATGAATTGCAGAGAGGAAAACAAATCTCGGCCAAATATATGACAAATTGTTAATAACCCTTGATCTTACAAGCAAATCAGCCAAAGACGCATATAACAGGAAGATGGTCAAGGTCTCCAGGGTCGGTAAATTCAGTAGCTCAACAAAACCACTGAGGGCCCAGGTTCTTTCCATCTCTATGTTCTATCGCTCTCTGTCAATTTTTTTTTTTTAATTTTAAAATGAAATCATGTAAAAAAAATAAAGTGAAATCACGTGTATGTAGGCGTATTCATAAAGATAAACACTCTAGTTAAAACTATACAACATTAACAGGAAATACAAACCAAGATAATCCTCTGAATTTTATGTTCCATCGAGCCTCAAAAACCACCAATCTTTTAGTCCCTTTCTTGTACATTATTCTGTGTCCATATTCTCTGCATTTGATTGGCTCCCCGGATTTTAGTTCAGTTTTCTCTGTGACATTCTCCGCGGGTATATGTCCCTGGCTGCTGCTTTGGGGGCTGACCGTCTTTCTGGGTGTCCACTGATAGTCCCTCCAAATCCCAACCAGCCGATTCCTACCCATGTAGCCCCAAGAAACTTCTCACGCCATGCTTCCGAACAGATGACTGCCAATCTGTCTCGACCTTAGCTGTCCCCGTGGGCAGAGAATGTCTGCCACGCATCGGGCTATCCCAGGAGCTAGTTTCATGGCATTAGAGGTCAGTCAGATCAATACCACTCAGTTCTGTTTCAAGCCACGTCCCTTGGGAGACAGGGTGTGACACGAATACAGCTTTCCCAACTATTAGATTCGTTCATTCCTGTGATCAGCTGAAGTGCACAAAATATAAATCTGGGTAGAAAATGCGATGCCCTAGATAAGACCATTCAGGGTTTGGGACTCTGCACAGCTCACTCAGGTATAGGGGCTCTGAGGAAACATGGCCTCAACCTATTCCAAACTTAGAAAGCCACTTCCTTGAGATGCAGCCGGTGTGTGGGGATTTATCTCCTGGGTGGGAAAGGGAATTTTATTTTCCATTCCTTTGAAACCCTAGAAGCAAACCCATTAGGGCTTGTCTGTCTTCCTTCTTTTAGCCATTCTGGTAGGCATTTAGTAACGTCTCATCCTTTTAACTTATGTTCCCTAGTAACTAATTTACAACGATGTTGAAAATCTTTTCATGTGTTTATTTGCCATCTCTATATGTTCTCTGGGGAATGTTTTCTTGCTTTTATATCATTTTCTGTTCTATGTATCTTTTTTTTTTTAATTTTTTTAATGTTTTTTATTTATTTCTAGGAGAGAGAGAGAGAGACAGCGTGAACAGAAGAGGGTCAGAGAGAGAGGGAGTCACAGACTGAAACGGGCTCCAGGCTCTGAGCTGGCAGTCAGCACAGAGCCCGACGCGGGGCTCGAACCCACGAACCGCGAGATCACGACCTAAGCGAAAGTCGGACGCTTAACCGACTAAGCCACCCAGGCGCCCCTCTATGTATCTTTTTTAAAAATAAGTTTATTTATTTATTTTGAGAGAGAGAGAGAGAGAGATCGATCGAGCAGGAGAGGGGCAGAGAGAGAGGGAGAGACAGAGAGAATCCCAAGCAGGCTCCACACTGTCAGAGCCCCATGCGGGGCTCAAACCCACAAACCCCAGCCGAAACCAAGAGCCCGATGTTTAACCAACTGAGCCACCCAGGTGCCCGAGACCAGATTTGTAAACCTAGTTACTACTGCCCTTGAGAACAGACTATGTTATAAGCAAGGTAGGATCGTTCTTTCCAACTTGAATGTTCATAAAGATTAAACAACTCGGCCAAGGTCCCATGGCTAAAAAACAGTGGAGAAAGTGTGCTAGCCAGAAGCGAAAGCTCATTCCTCCATAGAGCTCCCCTCCCCACCCCCCAGACCACAGTGACGGAGCAGATCTTGCCAGCCGGCACCACCCACAGAAATGCAGATCGGCTTTCGAGAGCGAGAAATATCTGTCAATCTACCAGCAGGACACAACCAGATTCCCCCCCAAAAGAAGAGGGGGTGGCTTTTCGTTTCTCTTTTCTGTCATCGTCTGTTCAGCGGAAAGGTAAGGTGAGCATCAAGTACTCAAAGAGACAAATGCTCCCAGTCAGCTGGACTCTGAGTAAGGATAGCTTTACTGAAAACATCAACTAGGACACTTGTTCCCTCCACCCCACGCCCCAGGACACAGGCCCTGGTGTTCTTTGTAGGGTTTGTGAAGTAGGGTGTTTGTCGAGTGGGAGGAGGGGTGGAATGTTGTGTTATGTGGGGTATAGAATGGTCATATTCTCACGTCATTAAGGGGGCGGGTTTTACTGAAACAGGTAGAATGTTCATGAGTAAGGAGAGGAAGCCTTTAGAAAAGGGAACTTCACTGGGGCGCCTGGGTGGCTTAGTCGGTTAAGCGTCCGACTTTCGCTTAGGTCATGATCTCGCGGTTCGTGGGTTCGAGCCCCGCGTCGGGCTCTGTGCTGACTGCCAGCTCAGAGCCTGGAGCCTGTTTCAGAGTCTGTGACTCCCTCTCTCTCTGACCCTCCCCTGCTCACACTGTCTCTCTCTCCTAGAAATAAATAAAAAAATATTAAAAAAAAAAAAAGGGAACGTCACTGACAGAAGGTCATGACACAGGTCACTGATTCTTCCCAGTACTCAAAAGTAGGTTGCGGGGTGGTGTTCTAGAAAGAGGCAAGAGCAAAGACCTGGAGGTGGAAACAGATTTGGCCCAAGGAGCGGCCAGGAGGCCAGAGGCCAGTGCTTTAGTGTTGGGAGAAGAGCTTGGAGTTGCGTGGAGGGGGTGGAGTCTCTTCAGGCTCTGTAAGAGAGGCAGTGAGAGCAGGAGCGAGAGAGAGAGAGAGAGAAAGAGAGAGAGAGAGAGAGGGAGAGAGAGAATCCCAAGCAGGGTCAGCAGGTTCAGCACAGAACCTGACATAGGGCTCGAACCCACAAACCTTGAAATCATGACCTGAGCCGAAGTCAGGAGTCCAACGCTTAACCGACTGAGCCACCCCGGCACCCAGGTGCTCCCCTCAACTGAGACTTTTAAAACGGATGGATGTCTGGGTCACCACTGAGGGCAATGCAACCTGAATTTGAATTTGTCAGCGCGGCGAGCATTTTTGTTTTCTTTTTAAGTCCCTCCAGGGGTCTGATGTGCGGGCAGGGTTGAAAATCTGTAGATGACCTTGTCGAGAACGAGTTTGGATTTTATTACAAGTACTCTAATCTAACTTCCGGTGTGGAGAATGCGCCAGGAATCAAAACGGGGAAAAAGCGGAGTCGAGGGTGAACTAGGAAGAGAGGAGCCGAGTTTGAGGCAGGAAGGTGGGCTGGGACCTGGTGGGTTTCACTGGCCGTTGGAAGGGTGCGGTTGGCAGAGAAGAAAAGAGAGAGAAACCAGAGATTTAAAATCAAAAAGGCCTTATAACATCTAACCCTCCCTAAGGAAAGAAAACTAAAATAAAGAACATCTCAAGGCAACCTTGCTATTCGTGTACGTGACAACATCCCTCATGACCTTGTAACATGAGACGTTAATCAGACTACATGTTTGTGTGTTGCCATGTATGGGAGACAAAGAAGTAAAAAATATATAAAAAACCACACCACATGGTGTTCGGGGCTCAGTTCTTTGGGTAGGAACCCTACTGAGCTCCGCTCCCCCGCGGGAATAAAGTTGCTTCCTGGGAAAAAAAAAAAAAAAGCCTTGGTGTCACGACTCTCTGGGAGAATCCTGCTACAATTCAATTGTTTCATTTGTTTCAAAATGTTTATTTTTTTTATTATTTAAAAAAATTTTTTTTAATGTTTTATTTATTTCTAGGAGAGAGAGAGACAGCGTGAGCAGGGGAGGGTCAGAGAGAGAGGGAGTCACAGACTGAAACAGGCTCCAGGCTCTGAGCTGGCAGTCAGCACAGAGCCCGACGCGGGGTTCGAACCCATGAACCGCGAGATCATGACCCAAGTGAAAGTCGGACGCTTAACCGACTAAGCCACCCAGGCGCCCCGCAAAATGTTTATTTTTGAGAGCGCAGGGGAGGGGCAGACAGAGAGAGAAAGAGAGAGAGAGATGCTCCAAAGCAGGCTCTGCGCTGACAGCAGAGAGCCCAATACAGGGCTAGAACTCACAAACCTTGAGATCATGACCTGAGCCGAAGTCGGCCACTCACCTGACTGAGCCACCCAGGCGCCCCCGAAATAAGAACATTTGTTAAAAAATTTTTTTTAAGTACATTAAGTATAAAAAAGAAAATTTATTCACATACTTGACCTCGATTAAAAGAGCAAATAATCAACAGATGCAGAAAAAGCGTTTGATGGAAGTCAAAGTCAATACCTATTCCCGAGACAAAAAAACCAAACCCTCCCTTAATCTGATAAAGAAGAACCGTTCTTTCCTCCTAGACCACACAGTAGCGGTAAAAACTGCACTTCGTGTCCCAGGTCTGCACTATGTATGCGCAGAAAATAAATGTGTGTGCTGTGCAAAGGGGTCAATACACCATTCTAGCCTGGCGGTCGTGAATACGGACTTCTAAAAGTGGGCTCTCCCATTACGAGCTGTGTGACTTCCGGTGGCCCAGGTAACCTCTCTGTGCATCCCTTCCCTTATCCCTCTTGTATCAGATGTGAGCAGTGAAACAAAGACAACGTCTAAGGTACAGCAACGTTCCAGGTTGGTGGAGAATGAACCAGAAGGAAAGGCTTAGTTAGAGGTGCCGCAGTTGAGAGAAGAGGAGGGGAGAGGCGGGTGGTGTTGAAGGCAGCAGAGTGGAGCTGAGGCCCCAGCAGCCAGGCCCTGGGAGCTGGAACACGTTAAGAAACCATGTTGGGGGGGCAGGGGGGGTGTGCTGGGAACAGAATGTGGGTGTGGGCGCTGGCTGGGGGGCAGCGGTGCGGTGCCCTCCCAGCTCCATCCCTTCCCTCTAAGGGAAGCCCCCGCACAGCAGTCTCCACCTGGAAACGTCTAAACTCATCCCTATAAAAACCTTCAGCCTTTATTAAATAAAAAGGAGGTAGAAGACAGACAGAGGAACAGGCCAGGTACCCCCCCTTCCGAGTACACAGATACAGGCATACAGACAGACACAACCGAGTGAATGGCAGAGACACGTCAGGGGACAGACTGAAGGGCGGAGGGAGGCAGCACCCTCCGCGAGTGGGCCCGGACCCAAGGGTGGGCTGAGACCTGGGCCAGGGGCAGCCGATCGGAGGGGTTATGCTTGAGCAGCTTGGAGATGAGGTCCTGGGCGCCCGCAGGCACGGATGGGGGGAACTTCAGGTCCACCTACAGGAGGGGAAGGAGAAGACCCCGCAGTTTTTTGTTTTTTTTTTTCGAAGAGAGAGAGAGACAGTGTGAGCAGGGGAGGGTCAGAGAGAGAGGGAGTCACAGACTGAAACCGGCTCCAGGCTCTGAGCTGGCAGTCAGCACAGAGCCCGACGCGGGGCTCGAACCCACGAACCGCGAGATCATGACCTGAGCGAAAGTCGGAC